ATTTACAATAATCATCTGCTTGTGGTTTTGGCCATGTAAATCGGCCATTTACATGCCTATTTTTTCAAAATTATATCTATATAAATAGCTGTGCAGGATAGACAACAGCGAAAGAGGCTTTTTGGGTGAAATGTAAGCTGGAACACGAGCACTAGAACGATATGTCATAAGTATCTCTCTATTTATGTATATAACAGATCATTTTTCCATTACTCTATTCTGCTGCTCAATAAAAGTATTATGGTGGATTTCTGTAGTATGAAAGTGCAATTATAGCATATTCCAATTTATTTCGGTCTCCAATTGTTTTGCATATGAAGTGACATTAAACGCAATGTCCAGTCCTGTTGTTTCCTGAAAGTGAAATACTGATGTTGAAATTTCTTTTCAACTATACAAGTTTCCACAATGTACATTTCTGGAAAGTAGCATAAGTTTTCACATATTTCGGTTTAGTTTGGTGCACGGCTTGACAACCCTTGGCCATCGAGATCGTGCTTACCTCGTGACCAAATGGTGAAAAATGTCATATGATCTACACACTCACTTCTTTCGTTTAGTAATATTTATCTGGTATGGATGCTACTTTGCATCTCAATTGCCCTCATTTTATTCCTGATTGGCAATGGTTAACATGACCCCATTTAGTTCTATGCAAGCCGAAATTAAATTTGAAGCAGAATTATAAACCATTGCAGATCAAGCCTTTTCCATTCTGAGTCTATAGATAAATCTCATTAATTGTTATTTAATCGTCATTTTAATTACCTGCCCAGCTTTTATCGAATATATAAATATACGCTTTGTCATAGAGTGACCACTTTGTTATTGATACTAGAGTATTTCTGGTCATTTATCCTTAGAAAATTTAATATTGAATGTGGAAACTTGACATTTTAGGTAATACAAATAATATAATATTTTGTATGATTATCGCTAAGGGCGTTTTGGACATGATATGTCTACATTCCAATTATGAATTAACTTGCCTTTATCACATTTATGCACAATCTACTGATCAGACTACGTAGTAATTTTCTACCTATTATCCCCATTTTTCTACTTTTTTTAGTCTACCAGCAACTATATTGCTCGACGCTATGGAATTCGGTCTGCAATGCCCGGCTTCATCGCCAAGAAACTTTGCCCTGAGCTTACAATCGTGCCACCTGACTTCACCAAATACACATCCATTAGCCGCCAGCTGCGCGCCATTTTGGCAGAGTATGCAGTCATAGTCGATGTTGATGCCTTTGCTCCTGAACCCTCTGACGTAGGATCCTTGTCAGCTACCAGGCCTTCGCCAGTACCACTAAATGAATTTGACTCTTACTCTGAATCAGACATACGACTAGAGCCATCTTTTGTTTTTAATTCTGAAAGTGATAATACTTCGGATACGATCGACTCCTTGACTTCTGCCCAAATTTCTAAGCCTCCTACCGCTCCAATTTCTTCGAAAATTCCATATTTATGTCAGCTTTCCATCCCGTCAGCTCAAGGAGATGACAAGAGGGAGTCATCGCTCTCATTCGAGCAACCCACTGTAGATACTAAAGTAATGGATTCAATAGCGGCTGCCTCTTCTACAGAAGTGGTAGCTATGGCTACTGCTGGGCTCGATGAGGTCTACCTCGACATATCTGGGCACCTGTCGCTCCGGGCTCACTGGCCTGCGTCTAAGCGCACCTACTGGCCAAAAGATCACGAAACTGGAAAATCTCTCGTTTGCCGGTGGGTAGGCATGACCATTTTTACTATTTTCCACATTTATAATTAGATTACTACGATTCATTCAATGAAAAAGGGACAACAGATATGCATGCCTAAGAACCTGTACATTATCCTTAGAACTTGAATTTCTAATGCAATAATGTACAAAATATTCATGGTTTACCTTTCATTCAGTTGCATAAATATTCATTGCGTCAGGAAAATAGTTTTTTTGGAAATTATTGTGTTAATCAATTTTTGTATGCCTTCGTATTTCATGCTTAATTTTTAGTAATATAAGGTGTCTCGAAACTCTACTCCAACACGAAAAATATTTTTTAGTAATTACGCCTTGTAGAACGAACTAACGGATTCCGGCGCGGATGTTTGGTCTAAACTTAAATAAATATGCTTATAACAGTGATGGTTCTTAAAATTTGCAATAATATAAACCATTAGACGCTCAAAATGATGATTTTAAAAGCATTGATGTTGGGAATATATTAATATCGCTATATCAGCGAAACTCATTTGGAGAGGGAATATTTTTATTTCTTTGTCTATCCTTGGACACTTATTCCCTGAGTTTGAATTCTTATGATGCTTATACTTATGCGGATTCAAAAATTGATGAAGGTATTCTATCCTTGTATATGACACTAAAACTCAATGAAAAAGACGATTCTATACATTGTTTCTAATAAGTTTAATTATCAGTACTTATAACAGCAATTGATCAGTGGCCAATCTCCTTTCTTTAAATGGATTATTACTATTGTACAATTGATCGAGTAGGAGGAACCTTTAGGGTTCATTTTTGATCCATTCTTCAATTTCGTATCTTTTTGCCTAAACGTCTCTA